ATTTTATACATGAGTATACTGTCATCCTTTCTACTGCCCTCCCTCCTCCGGCTCCTGTGTCTCCCTCAGCCACTCCCTTTCAAAGTCATGACTCTTTCTTCTGTATTTATTTTGTACACACACATACACACACATGCACACACATACATATTCTACCGAGTCCAATTAGTGTTGCCCTTATTTTTATGTTTAGGGCTCACCTCTTAGGATTGGGGTTCTCATCCCTGAAAAAAAAAGAAAAAGAAAAAATATTGCCCCCCCCCAGTAGCTATTAACTGCCTTTATCTCTTCTTTAGAATCACCCATGAACTTTGGCTAATAGACTTTAGAAGATCACATGTTTAGACTATCAGAATGTTGGCACTGGAGAGATGGCTTAGCGGTTAAGAGCACTGACTGCTCTTGCAGTGGACTGGGTTCAGTTCCCAGCACCCACATAGCAGCTAACTACAGTTCAGTCTTTAATGGAGTTCCAGGGGATCCAAAGCCCTCTTCTGACCTCCATGAGCATTGCATGACATGAGTGCACTTACATATATGTAGGCAATACACTCATACACAGAAAAAACAAATAATAAATAAAATAAAACAAATAAAGAATATCAGAATGTTGACCTTTAAATTGTAATAATTGGTTGTTAATAAATCTCTAAATACCTATGAAGATGAACGAATTTGGTGAGTACTCTTTTATGAGCTGGTGTTGCTAGGCCTTTGAGGAATGTGATGTTAGGTGAAAAACAATGGCAGCAAATAGTGTGTTAATAATTTCCTTAACTGTTTACCTTGAGGCCTGGGACTGTCCTCAAGCTCCACAGAGAAAGAAGCATGTTGACAGTTGTATTGAGAACTAACTGACCTTTGAAGTCTTTTGAAGCACTAATGATCATTGAATACACATTTTTGTTGACTGGAAACCTAGAAATGACATATGTGTGGAGCACTACCCACCATGAACGTTTCTATACCCAGCACCAGACCTCTGTATGCAGAAAGCAACATGAACACCATGTGACTCACACTTCTTGCACTACCTGGTTCTTTGAAGACACACTTGTTAAGAAGTCTAGAAGACTAGCTAAATGAGTCTAATTTCTATATGGGGGTTATTAACAAGGGCCTGTAAAGGGGAAAGAGGAATAAAGTTAAATAGAAAGAGTTAATGAATAAATAGTGTTAAAATGCTAATGTATTTTAAGCAGATTCTCTAAAGACTTAGAAGGTAATGGTTTGGTTGAAATAAATGCTTAAAAGGGACTAAAATCTAAGCCTACAAGATTAATCACAGACAACATTAGAATTTCAGGATCCCCAGTCTGATGGTTCTGTATGTAAGGATGGGGTTAATGTATTTAATCAGTTTAATGGATTATACCCAGAACTCCATCATCATTATAAATGGATTATAATGAGTGCTAAATTACTTAGATGCTTTAGTAAGAGTTGGGAGGTTTGAGCTAATGAGATTTAGATAAGATTTTGGGGTTTTATGTTAAGTCTACAATGAGCTGGGGCCCTTGAATAAGGTATTGCATAGGGAGGAATGTGAGTCATGAGGGCTAGGGCATGGACAATGGCAGGTGGATATGGGCCCTCCATGGCAATTGCCATCTGATGTTATGCCTGTGGTTATATTGCCATCGTGACAGAAGAACCTTGTACATGAAAATTAAGTTAACATAGCAGCCTACTTTAAGATCAGAAGAGAATCCTGGACTTTCTGCATGGGCCCAGTATCATCAAATGGAAGTGGAGAGCAGAAGGGGAAATCAGAGAGAGTCTATGTGTGAGAGCTTGACACATTGGCTTTCACTGTGGAGGGAATCAGGAGCTGAAGTGTGCAGACAGAAATTAGGCTCATTAGTGAAAATGAATCCCTGCCAGCAGAGAAGGAGAACTTCAGTTCTGTACACGTTAGGATATGGATTCTGCTAACAGTTTGATTCTGCTAACAGCTTTCCCAGAGCCTCTCTGTGAGGGTCTCACAGTATGCTGCCTAGTCAGATCCTTAGCAGGGGATCCAGAGGAGCTAAGACCAGAATACTGAACGAGCAAATTGTAAGAAAATCAATAGATAATGTCTGAAGTTGCCAGGCTGGTCGTGATTTCTTATGGCAGCAAGAGGAAATGGACAAAGTTACATTGGTGTCCAGATTGAAAACAGCGTACTGCTGGGACAGACTGTGGGTCTTGCTGTCTCATACCCACCTCTTGTGGAGAAGGAGGAGGATACATAACCTAGGAATTCAAGCAATAAATCACAGATGTTTCCAGCAGTGGAGTCAATATTAGCCTTTCTTGAACCTCACCTTTCGTGCTTGCTTTGCGTCGTGTAACTGATACAATTTCCTGAAGAAATGAGTTCTTAAATATCACTGATCCCTTCCCAAATCTTTATTCCTCTTCCTTTCTTGATGCAGTGTAAGGGGATGGAATGGAAGGGTCCACACTCTTTGGTTCTCCTTAAAGGGTATATCATCTCCTACACATGCCCATAAGCACAGAGGGTACCCGGGTCTTCTGAGTGACCAACGGGAATGACTAAGCACAGCTATCCACAGGCCCTCCCTTGTTCTCTCATGGCCTGGCTTCTACAGGAAGTAGTTCAGCTCCAGCAATAAGCTGAAATTCCTTCTTAGTGCTAGCTAACCTGTCTTCCTGGGTCTGATTTTTACTTATCATGTAGTAGATGTAAAAATGGAAAAGAAGTCTTGGAATGTGGCCTATTAAATAGCCAACCTAGAAGTCTATAGTAAACAGGTTCATCCTGGGACTGACAGGATTTCCCTCACAACCTTTCTACTGTGAAGGTCAAAGAATATGGGCAACTACCCAACACATGCCCTTTATGTCTTTCTGACAGCTTTCTGAATATTAGGTATCTTGACAAACCTATTTTAAAGGTTTATTCCTTTGACTCCTATGTAGTTAAATTAGATTTGAGGTGACTGTTTTCATCAAACATGTGCATGAAACCACTAAAAACTCAGTTTATTTCAGAATCTTATTCCATTTGGGGGGGGGTCTTATAGGAAGCAGTCCGTCTGAAGAAAAATAACCTTTCTTTAAAAAAATATTTCTTCTTAGTTTTTAAAAATGTCAAGGATCATAGAAAAACCTTATAGAGATGGGAGTATTTTCCAAACCATAAGTTACAAAGCATATGAATGTTAGCGGTTGGTATCTGATTCACTTAATAGCTGTAGATATCAGTATGCTGCAAAGCTCTGTGCCAGACCTGTGGCTGGCTGACGTTTCCCATTTCTTATAACTTGCTTAGCTAGATTGATTCTTTAAAACCAGAGCCCATGCACTTAAACATGTTGCAAAAGAAGATTCTCATTTTACCTCTGGTTTCACAAAGCAAGAAAGTTGATGCAACTGAAAATGAATATTGAAAGCAGGCTAGTTTGATTTGAAACAGGACAAGGTCATGAAGCTGGAGAGACTTGAGTTTGGTTCCCAGGACCCACATTGGGAGGCTCACAACCACCTGAACTATAGCTCCAGGAGATATGATGCCCTCTTCTGGCCTCTCTGGGCACCCATATGCACACATGGACACACATGTGCACACAGACACACACACACACAAATTGATAACTGATAAATCTTTTAAAACATAGGAGCAACATGTCAATTAGCACTTTAAGAGTTAAACTGAAAATGGCTAATGGTGGTGCCAAGAATGAGAACTCCAGGGTCGGGGTAGGGTTATATTCTTCTTGTTTATCATGCTCTGTAATATTTTTCTGTTTTGTGCATAGGGTTAGAGTACTTGAACAGAACCCTGTTTAGGAAAGCTTTAAATTCAGAAACTATGTAACTGAAGATAGCTGTCAAAAGCCAACTTACAAAGACCCTCTCTTTTCTTATTGGGAAAGTTTGAAATCTTTTACCCAGTTTCTATGTCATATGTAATTATTAGTATAGTCCAATAATCTGGAAAATAATCTAGTAATAATTGGTCCAGGTGTATTTTTTTTTTTTTTTCATGAGGTCCTATATGGTTTGTTAGGACCAATCTGGGCGAGTGAACCCTTCCCTACCTTTCCTCATTTAGACAGTGGGAACTCTCATTCACAGGCAGCACTGCGAGCTGGAGAGTTTTACCTGGTCTGCCTGCTATCTAGGGAAAAAGAGCTAACCCTAGGAAGAAATTGACTAGTGCATGGCGTACAGAGAGAAGGCTAAGTGTAGACCACAGTTCTGTGAAACCTTAGGATTTTATTAGAGGGAAACATAGGTGGAAATAATATTTCATGTAGAGATTTATAAACCCCTTAATTCCTATGAAAATTCTCCCTCCCTCCCTCTTCCTTCTCTGTCCCCCTGTCTCTTTCCTTCCCCTTCCCCCGCCTTCCCTCCTCCTCCCTTTACTGTCCTGTCCTTCCACTAAAACATACAATTTATAGGGACTATCACAAGCAAGAGAGTAGAGGGAGTTTAGAACTTTTTCAAAGTGTAAAAACAAATCATCTATTAATGTTTACTCAGATCCTCATGTTTAATTACATTTGGAAGCTGCACACAGGCTTTATAGAAGCCAATCCCTAATAGAAGTTAGAGAGAAAAATCACACGCCAAGATTTCTTACCGCCTTTCTTTATCTATTCTTGTCTCAAATCCCTCCAGCCATCTGATTCAAAAAGAGTCCAAAGAGTCTCAATTTTTGACATCACAAGCATAACTGGGAGCTTGTCAAACCACAGTTCCTAGACCGCACGCTTAGGCGTTCTTATTCAGCAGGGCCCAGTGATTAGCACTGTCACACCTTCCCCATTTACTCCAATGCTGCCCATTTGGAGCTAAACTTTTGTAACACTCAACAGCTTTACCCGTGTCACTGGGCCACTGTAGCAACTGCTCTGTAACCGAGGGAAAGGTAACAGTAGAGCTTTTGGATCTAGTAGGTCTGTAGGGTAGAAGCTGGGCTAGAGAATAAGACTGTTAATCTTTAATAAGGACCATATAACAAAGCTACCTCTCCTCTTTCACAGAAGCAAACCCAGAGAAATTCAATAGTCGTTTTCGAAATAAAATGTTCTATGCAGGGGTAAGTATGTATTCCATTTTATAATGATTACATATTTGGTAACAACTCACTATTTAAAAAACTAGCCACATTAAAATTAGCAGAGCACACCTCAGACATTTATATCTGTGTTTATATGGAGTTACTGTTACATATCTTCATTAAAGAATGAACGTGAGGGTATGGTTTTTTTGTTGTTGTTGTTTTGTTTTTTTGTTTTTCAATGAGTTGTCCGCCAGGCAATTGGTGTTTACCATGCTTGAATTTTAAGGCTCCTAGTTGCCACAAAGGTAGATGACTTTCAGGGAGTGTTGTGAAGCAGATACCAAAGCCCGTGAAGGAAATGGGAAGAGTAGACAGATTGGAGAAAAATACAGGCATTTTTACATAGTATGATCTTAGTTATTTTTTCTTGTTGCTGTGATAAAATGCCCTGACCAAAACAGCTGTAGGGAGAAGGGATTCTTTGAGATTACAATTCCAGGTTACAGTCCATCATTGCAAGGAAATCAATGCAGTAGAAAATGAAAACAATGTAGTCGTAGTACATCCGTCATCAAGAACAGAGAGCAGTGAGTTAATATTAACATGCTGGTGCTCAGCTCTCTCTCTTCACTCTTAAACAGCCCAGGATCCCCTGCCCAGGGTATGGTGCCACTTGCAGTTCACTGGGTGAATTTTCCCACTACTCTAAATAACCTCCCATAGACATGCCCACAGGCCAACCTAATCTAGAGGAGCCCTCATTGAGACTCCTTCCCAGGTTCCTCTAGATTGTGACCAGTTGACAGTACTGACTATTGCAGACAGTCTTAGAATAGAAGAGTTTTCAGCAGAGTCTGTACCCATTGACTTTGAAATGGGAAGGTGTCTATGGAAGTATATCTGTGAGACCAAAGGAGGACCTTTCTTTGCTTTTCATGGATATCCCCGGGAATGAATATGGATGAAACAGAAAACATCCAAAGTATCAACAAAGTGCAGTTTAAATTGATGGCTCTGGATCGGAGGAGTTAAAATAAAAAGGGACTATAGAACTATCCTAGCATTGGATGGGCAGGTAGCAAGTTCAGGAAGGAATCTCAGAATAAATTCTTCAGAGTGACTCTGAATTATTCACTTGTTACCCTCCTCTGTAATCTAAAATTTTATTATAGTTTGAAAACAGAGGAAGATTTCAATGTGATAAGGACACTGTGCTACCATACCTTGGATTCAGTCACTGGAGAACATGTTATATATTTTTGATAATACAGAGTCATGGGGACCTGTCTGTCAGGTTGAAGCAAGGATTTGGGGCAATCGTGTAACTAAGAATCTTTTTCTTTTTTCACGTGTGGTCTAGGCAGCTTTTTCTGATTTCCTTCAGAGAAGTTCTAGAGATCTATCCAAACATGTTAAAGTTGTCGTGAGTATTGACTATACAGATTCATTTCATTTGCATGTGAATATGAATGTCCCACTACACCTCCCAAATGCAGCTTTATGTAGAAGGTAATCACTGGGCTGCATACAAGTTTCAGTACATTTAGTGGAGCTCATTCAACCAACACCTATGTGTTCTTATCCTGTGTTAGGCTCTGTCTTAGTTGCTGGGAATGAAGCAAAAGAAAGACTAGATTTACTCCTGGAGAAACTCACAATGCACTCATGGCAGGCATGTAAATCATTACAGACAAACAGACTAAGTGTTATTCAACCATCTCCACAAAATAGTGGTGGACCAAGAGGAATCATAACTCTGATTAGAATGGATTCCAATAGATCTTCATTGAAGAAACAGTGTAAACAGCGTAAATGGATACTTAGCTAACAAACACCTTTATTCTGGGGCTATCTGGAGGCATCTACATTTTAGAGCAATAAATTATTATTATTTTATCCTGACCACTCTCCAGCCTGGTCAAGGCACATCATCGCAGAATGGATATTTTCCTGCTATTTTTTTTTTAAGTCGCTATCCCAGGTAATACCTCCTTTGGAGACAAGGGAGAGAGAAATTCATCTTTCTTTAGGTGGTACCTTTCTGATACAGCATAAAATTAATTAAGAAAGATGGTTTCTTAGAATAACAAAATTTATGAAGAAGATAATATGGTCTAGTTTTACATAGTTTTAAGAATAAATTAAAATGAGACTGAAGGTGGAAATTACACATATGGAGAAGTTAGGGAACAATAGCAATGTTTGGATTGATCAGGATAGGGAA